CGAATAAGCCTATTGATTTCTTATGATTGACAGATAAATTTTCCCCATTTTTTTATTCAGCAAATAGGCCTTTTGATTTTTTGTTGACGGGTGATCGGGGATAACCTTTTGGATGTGGTTGATGTACCTATGATCATGATGTGCTTGGCGCATGATTCGACGGTTACTCTACATGTACATGTAGACAGTAGTACACGTGAACTGATTCTGGAAGCCAAGTATAGGGGAAGGTGAACCAGTAAACTAATAAACATATTACAAGTGCATAGTGGATTGAACAAAGCTGACCCAATGAGCCATTCGATCGGTGAATTGCATTGTATTTTTAGAGTGTCACTAGGCGACCATTGCAAAAAGCCGTATATGGGCAGATGGCTCGCTGCCAAGAAAAAAGCATGGGCACGGTGCGCGACCATTGAGGCGAGTTAATGCCCAATACGTGTACCTGGTAACACGGTGGGCTAGGTGATTGGCCAGCTGAACGACATGAACGCCCAGTATTAACACGTGGGCATCACGTGGCAGGTTTCTCATGTTTGCTGAGCAACAGTATTGGCAAGGCAACCGTGACGTATAAACTTACAGCTACCCGATTGGTTATTAACCACAATATCCAAAACTCGGACAAATGGTACACATTACAAGTGTGTTGACGGTAAACCTTTCACAAATACCGTTACTTCCAATCATGCAGAAACCGCATCATCGGTTTTTTCAACATTAACCCACATCCTCACTTTACTCGGCTATTACATAAAACGGCCTCAGTGGACTATTCCTGATTACGATGTACCGGGTCACACGTTTACTTGCATTAAAAATGAATTTAAAAAATGGTCCTGCCAATTTGTAAATGCAAACTCCATCATATTATAAGGAAACAACGTCTCGGTTTTAAAGAAATTGCACAAAAATGTCTTCAGACATACTAACGTTGACCATGCGTTGACTAATCAGGACAGCTGTCTCCAAAGCACAAAATAATTGTTGTTGAAAAAAAAATTAGCCTGACTTCCGACTTGCAAATTCTTTCTTAAAATAACCCCAACACCCCCAAGTTACAAACAAAATCGAAAAGAAAAAACAAAAGTCGAAATATTTACAATAAGGAGGACACACAAAAAGAAGCAGCAATGATAACGGAGTTTGAGTAGCAAATTCTCATGTGCCTTCGTTTGAGTGATCCTTGCACAACGGACATGCTTATTCACTTGACTTGACACACGGCGACATTGCAGATTTCGTTTCTCACCAAAAATACCGTATTAATTTTGCTACTTGGATTTTGAAAACCTCCTCACATTAATTTACGTACATGTACATATTCTCAATCTTACGAAATAATTAACAAGAAATTGTCAAGTACGAACAGGTTGTCGTAAATGATAGCTCTATGATACGAATTAGTCTGCCGCCGTCGTCCTATAGCAGTGTTTGTAATCGGGCTACC